GTTGCCAGTTCAGAGAGTCCAGGTGGTTGAGTATCAGATTGTTCCATCTCGTTTCCCTTTGGGGTTGCTGAAGGTGATCCAGAAGTCTGTTTTTGAGACTTTTTTACGTGTCTTCTCATTTCCACAGGAGGGGGTGCTTCTGGTGTCCACGCAGTTCACCTTCTCTGTCCTAGGAGCTTGGGATGGCGGTAGGGGAGCTTCCTTCTGGGTGCTGAGACCGGTTGAGCTTCTCTGCCCTAGGAGCCTGGGATGGAGGTGGGGAGCTTCCTTCCCGGTGCTGGGACTGGCTAACATTACACTATTGTTAAACAGATTCATTGCTGGCACTGCTATAGCCTTATTTGGGTGGTGCTTTTCTAAAATTTTTGCATGTTTTACACATTTTACACATCTCCCTGATCTCATTTGAAGTGAGGAACTCCTCCGCCTTTTTCTCCTCCTCCTCTGCAAATGAGATCTCCATAACCTCTTGTTGTTGGCAGATGATCATCCACAATTCCTCAGGGAGAGAAAGAGAAAAGCCACTGGCTCAGTTTTGATCATCCGGCGTTCAGCATCATGTATTACTAATATTGTGAGACATCTCACATTTATCAAGTTAAAATTAGAAATGTTTGCTCATCTTGAAGCGCACTCACAGAACAAGGTATAATTCAAGGTTGTACATTTAAAAGAAAAGCCTGGGACTCAGGGTGTAGCTCCAGTGGTTGCCAAGCATGCACAAGGCTCTGGGTCCAATCCCCAGCACTACCAAAAAAGGGCAAAGTATGTATGAGATGCATAAGATAGGAGATACAGTGGAAAAGAAGCAAGACTCAGCCAGCACCAACACAAAGCACCTGTTAGCAGGTCCACAGGAGACAATGAGCAATGCTGCAATGAATCACTATGGTGTGGAAATCATATAAACTTTACACTCAAAGAACTGGGCAAATGCTGTCCTGTGGATGTCTCCTCTGTGCTAACAATCTTGATAGATCTTAATTTTGGTTAACATAGCAAGGGCTCAGAACAAAGATATACTAAGAGCAGTAAGAAGCCAGCAATGGGGTTTAGACAAATTAATGGTCTACGAAAATACCCCTCACCCAGGTGAGAAGACAATGCAGAGGAGCTAGTACTTGTGTCAGATGAAGCCCTTTGCTCTTCTCTCCTTTATAACTCCTTAGGCACTCGGAAACACAGAGGCTCGCTGCCTCTCCACTGCCCTCTATACCAAGGATTCCCAGAACTCCACCCATGAACTCATGTACCAGGGATAGAGGGAAGCACCTGATCTCTGTCCAAGACCTTCCCCTAAGTGCCAGAATTAGAAGCCAGTCCAGCTTTCTTGCTGCTTCTGCTTTCTTGTGCTAATGCTACTTGAAGGAACTCGTCCAAGGCTATCACCTGGCAAAAATGTTCTCCTCTATGTAGCAATATATGGAATGGCATTACCATCTACCTTCTCTAACCCAAACCAGGACTTTCCTAGGAGTTCTCCTGTACCCCACTATGTTCACACACCTGTGCTTCGGTTAGATTTTGTTATTTTTCAGCTCTTAAACTCAGCATGGCCTCCATCATGGCAACTACACCTAGAGGCCTTCATCAAACCTCACCCGCATGGGCAATACTTTCCTCATGGTCCATTTTGTTTTTGTAATGTAAAACCATGTATTTAATTCTAAATGGAAACATTTTACAACAGTGAAAATAACAGTGACTGGCCAAGGTATGCTGCTGTATATATTGCCATTTTCTGACTGTGGTCAGGACCTGGTCCTAGTCCTCCAAGGTGGAGGCAAAGAGAACACATACAAGGTAAGTAGCCTTGGCAGAAGAGTGAGGAGCCTGCTGAAGGGCAAGGGGAAGGGGACTCCATTAGTTGGGCCAACAGTCCCAAGTCGGCTATCGTGCCCCAGAGCCTGACAGAGGGTGAGTGGGGACCTATAAAGTTCACAATCAGGGCACACGGCCAATATGGCTTTGCTAATGAGCTCCTGGGATGCTACTGCTGGTGGAGCTCTCCTGGTCCCCATTTCATTAAGTATTCTAAATGATTTGTCTTTCTACCCACAACTTTTCTTTAATCTTTTATCTAGGCTCAACTTGCTGAAGTTAACTCCCCCTCTACTAGTTGGGGTCACTGTACTGGGGTAATAACACTGGAGCAGAGGCAATCCAGAGGGCCTTGTGACTTGGGCCCACAAGCTGATAAGAAGAGCACTCTTGAGAGGGTGCTGAAGAATGTTTAAAATCCATCAGGCACACTGTAAAACTGGTGGGTTATTCCTACCAGTTGGATTTGGCAAATCAATCACCTATTCAATACTTTATGTATTTTTTTAAACACTGAGCCCTGGTATTAGTAGGTACAAAGGAAAAGGAAAAGGGATGGAAACCTTGCACTTGGGGCTTTCTACTATTGCTGGAGGTAAGCCAGGAATGGTGCAGATTGGCAAAGTGAGCAAGAGTTCTCCCACAGAAGTCCATCTCCCTTCATCATCGAGGTCTCCAAGGAGAAGCTGAGCTTCTAGGATGAAGTCTGGCAGGCCAAGCAAGAACTGTCCCACCAGATGAACTGTCTATCTGCCTGGCATTACACTCTTGCAATCAGGATGGAGCTTATAAAACTGAAAAAAGAAACTACAGGCTTGGGAAGAACAGCTTCCCTTAGATTCCACAGTAAGGAAGACCACATCGTGTCATTGTGCTGAGGTTCCCTAGACCTGCCGTCTGGCTCTACAAAATATCAAGGTTGCCTGCTCAGGTGTCACACACTTCCCCAGTTTTAGAACACACACAAGGAGTTTTCGGGAGACTCTACCATACCATACCAAAAGCAGGGTCACAGTGGGTCATCCCCCTCCCTGCTTCTTCATAATGGACAACTTGGCTTCTGAGGATGGTGGTCCTCCACATGCAGCTAGGCTGATCTGACTAAGTCTCCCACCTCTCTGGGTAAGGAAGCCCTCAGAGTTTCTGCGGCATAGGGGACAGGGCTACGTGTTCAGTTGCTCCTGCATTGGAGCTTTGAATATCATCGAGGGCCCAACTCCAGGTTTCTTAATGCACAGCAGGCAGTCCCAGCTTCAGCAGTAGTCTAGGCTGTTTGCCCTCTGGTAGACAGGGTAGATGAATATAGTTTTGAGGGGAAAGCTGACAGGAAATCTGTGAGTGAAGCCACATGTCTTACGAAGAACAATCTACACCAGGAAACCAGGAGGTCATTTAAGCTGCTCTCTGGGGCCACAAACACTGAGCAAAGCCCAGAGCTAATAAATGATCTTTGGGTCTCTGGTGAATTCATGAGTGGCTGCAGCTGCTGCAATTATGATCTTCCTGGGATAGCAATATTTTGGGTCTCTGCTAAGAAAGGAAGGGGAGAAAAGAGGACAGTGGCACTTCATTTCTTTACAATAGAATCCTGTACACTGAAAAGATTGTCAAACCCCAAATAATAGAAGGCAAAGTGAAAATATGTGAAACAATGTAACAATAAGGACAGAGGATCTGGAAGGGGAACTTGTCCGTATGAAGAGCCGCAATGGCCACAGAGGCCAGTTACCAAGGGGTAAAGAGATGAAAGTAAGTTTCCATAAATACCATTCGGTTCATCCTTTGTTTCTGTAATATAAAACTCAGGTGAAATTGTACTCTGACAGCTTCTTTCTTCCTACTTCTTCCCTGTGCAGTCAGGACCTCCTGAGTTGAGTGGAACAGGATTTCATGCTGCCATCCACGAGAGGAAACTCAACACCAAACCCTGAGGTTACAGAAGGGTGTTTACAGTAGTGGCAGTACTTGGGGGTCCTTGCCAACTGGTTTTGAGCTCCAAAGCTCTGATGGAGAAGCTAGACTCCTTGAAGTGTTATTGACCCACTGGGTCAGAATTAGCCAGGAAGCCAAATACCAGGATGAGGGTTGCACATCACCAGTCCAGAGGCCCTGTGGTAGACGCAGACAGAAGCCCAGCATTAGGAAATTAGGAGCCAGAATCATGAGGGCCACAAACAAGAAGAGGCATAACATGACAGAAACTGCTCATCTGCATACTGGGGTGTCCCAGGTACAGCTGGACGAGGCCACCCATCATTTATGTTAAATGCTGTGGCAAATATGCCAAAGGGAAATGCCCCAATTCCAAAAGACATCTGGAAGCCACTGTTTCCACATCCAAATCCTTGAAATCCCCCTCTATCCTCCGGCTCTGGCCTCTGGCATTGAGGACAAGGAGGGGTCTTCTTCTTGTACTGTCCAGTGCCCCATCTGCTGTGGAGCAGAATGACCTTGTCTCTGCTGATGGTGGCTTTGCAAACTGGACACACTTGTCTGTTAGGCCTGGTCTCCAACCACTGATATAAACACGGCCAACAGAAGTGGCCATACAGGCTGACGCTGGTGTCCCTGGTTGTGTCCAGGCATATGTTCCAAGGAAGGTGCTGTCCTACCCTCTGCTCTTGCCAGTGTCATTGCTGCTCCCACTGGGTCCCCCTGGACTGGAGTTCTTAAGAGATGCAGAGGCCAAGGCCCCTTGGTTGCCATCCTTGGCTATCAGCAAAGCTCTGAGTGAATATCCTCTCCAGGAAAATTCTGTCTTCACACAGCAAGTGCCGCTGAGGCCACTTCACTCTAATAGTCTCTTGGTCTACCAGCTAAGTCCTAACACCTCATCAGCCTATGGGACTAGACCTCTGACCCCTCCTACAGGGACTCTGGTCACAAGGAGACACCCCTCTTGAAGAGACCTCACTCAACCCTCATCCCTCAACACTCATGCAGCACAAACCAATGTTAACTACATCTGGGAGCTAGAGCAGACTCAGTAACTACAGCCCACAGTGCTAAATGTGGCTCACCACATGCTTCTGTAGATCAAGTTTTACTGCAACACAGCCACACCACAGTCATTTGTTCATTTAGAGCCTACTGCTGCTTGCTGTGCAATGGCAGAACTGATGAGGTGTGAAGGGTACAGGAGGGCACTTAAAGCTCTGGACCCCAAAAGAAGGGGTCTCCTCACCTTTAAAGATCCTCACTGACACCCATTATCTCTGCCCAAATCTTCAAGCATTCCTCACCATGCAGCTTCAAGCCTCTGTGCCTTTGCTGGAGTGTCCTCCTTGCCTATCCACCACTGGGTGCCTGTCCACCATGCTTAGTGTCTCCCATACTGGCAGACTGTTCTCCATTACCAGCACTCCCTGTTAGTCTCTCTCTGTGCATTAGACATGTTTTAGTACCATTCTCTGATCTCTCCATAGTGAGGGAAGAAGTGCATCTCTACCCCTCAGAGAAGATAGGCCTCCCATCACGCAGGTGCTCTGTAACCACTACACCCAAGACTCAGCCCTTAGCAATAAGACCTCACAGCTGTACCGAGTGAAGCCCCTTTCTGAGCACACTGACAGGGATCTGAATATTCCACTTCAGGGCCCCAGGGTGTGGATATGGGACTTGCTGAAAGACCTCAGCCCTGGGTCACATAGATCACAGAGGCTCCTTGACCACATCATACTCCTTAAGCACCCCAACTTCTGGGGCTCTCCACTGTGTACAGGATAAAAGCCAAGCTTCCTGAGAGGGGAAAGAGGGGCCTCTGGAAGGAGCTGTCCCTCTGCCCTGTCAAAACATGGAGAGGGACCAAATAAAGGCAAGAAACACAATTGTGGCTTCCCACAGCTGATCTGTTTCACTGAAAAAGTCCCTTAAATTCTATTTCCATTTAAATAGTGGTTTTATCTAGATAGAATGGTCAGCATAATCATTAGAGAGCATGAGTATAAGGATCTAGCATGGGCACTGGGCATGGTGGCACACACCTGTAATCCCAGCACTAGGGAGGCAGAGCCAGGAGGATCACCATGAGTTCTAGGCCAGCCTGGGCTACAAAGTGAGTTCAGGGCCAGCCTGAACACAAATTGAGACCTTGTCTCAAGGGGGCAAAAAAAAAAAAGATCTGGCACGAAAAAGGGTGTGGTATTATCCCACCACCACAACAAAAGCCCTTGGCTTGGATATTGTTTCCAGGAGTACACTGCCTTTCTCCTCAAAAATCTTATCCAACAGCATCAAAATTCTTGCCTGTTCTTCAAAAGTGACTGCCACCTCTACTCCCACTGTCCTGGGGTCCCTCTTGATTTCTTTATTCTATAACGATTCCCAGGTGCTTCAGGGAAGGGAGCTGGCATCCACGAAAGCACAGGCATCACATGCATAAGGGCCTACAAAACATTTGTTGAACTGAATTATTGGTGTGTCCACCATCCAGGACAACTGTCCATGACAGCATTTCCCAGTGTTCACAGAAGACACTCCACAGAGAATAGGGTTCCAGGGTAAAGGCAGGAGTTGTATGTGCTCTCCCCTTCTAGAAACACACTCTACACAGAAGAGGATTAAAAGCTACAAGCCAAGAACCTGGTGGAAGTATGTTTAACTCTCAAATGTAGTTTACCATGGAGCAATGTTTTTTACCCTCTAACCCTGCTCAGGCTAAAGGTACTGTTTCCTAGCAGAGCTGGAAGTAGGAGTCCTGGTCACTGCGCTTAGATGAGGCATGACCCACCACCAGGACTACTATCAGGCAGTATCTTTCTGGCAAGCATGAGAAGCTGATCCCAACTAGTTTAAGCACAAAGTCAATTTACTGAAAGACTATTCCAAAGCTCATAGGACTTCTGGGAAGGCAAGAGGAGCAGGCTCAGAAAAAAGTGGAACCAAGCCTGGCTACAACCCAACTGCAACCACAATCAAGCTTCAGGAAACATCTGTGGGGCCAACCAGGAACACCAGAAGTGGTAGCTGGCCTTGTTGCCACCACTGCCCTGGAAACAGGATATAGCAGCATCACCACTGGAACACTCTGCTGCCCTGGCTGCTGGTTACCAGTGCCTGATGACCCTCGAACTGGGACCTAGCCAGGACAGGTCCGTGCCCAAGCAGCAGAGGGCAGGGACATCCCAGGAGAAGAAGGGTTTGCCGCATAGGTATCATAGGAGTTTGGGACCCCACACCACTACAAACATTCAGACTGGGAAGGTTCCAACTTGAGGAGTCAGACTTTTCTACACTAGCCTTCCATTTTGTAATAATAAAACAGGACTGCCACTCCTGACTCAACCCTCAGAGTGCCCTTGGCAGTCTCACTGGACATGGCCAAGCCCAGGGCTCTGTACACTGCTCACTATGAGTGTGCTGGGGGCCAAGGCTCCTCCCTGCACAGGCCATACCTTGTGGTCACTCCAGTCCAAGTGTCTGGGAGACACATTCAGTGTGCAGAGATAAGGCAAAGGAGGTGGGAGGGCTGGGCTAGGAGGGTAACTGAGGGAGAATTTCAGAGCAGTGATGGAAAGGTGTCTGAGATCTCCCCCACAAGAGGGAGGAGCTCTGCCCTGCCAGCTCTTCAGGTCTAGGTCCAGTGGCCTCTGACCATGGACAGGACTGGCTGAATGTGAGAGGCTGTAGGTCTGCAATGTGGTGAAGGATGGGCACCCAGCCTAATCCATTGCAGACAAATGAACTACACAACTGGGGCTCTGCATCAAACAGCACCTCCCTCCAGCAAGTACCCAGAGACACCATTTTTAGCTCTATAAAACCCCAACACTCTGGCACATTCCCCAAATGTGTGCTGAGGTGCTGTCCCCCATCTCCATTGACAAGCATCAGTGTGCATCCCATGCCCAGCATCATTGCACAGGCTCTAGGTGGTCTGAACTGACCTCTCATCCAAAGTGGATCAAGAACCATCTCCCCTGATCAGCAAGGTCCACACACAGAATCAACCACAAAGCTAGAGAATGAGTGGCAGAACAGGAGGTTTCATCTATCTTACACCAAAACTGAAAAAGGGGAAATCAGTATACAACTGGAATAACCGATGCATTCAAATCTGAGCTCTCTGTGAGCAATAGATTCCACTTCCTATCCATATTCAGTTAGCTAGTCATTTAGTTAAATGAAGTATGAAGAAGTAAAGTCCTTGGATTTGCTTACAGATGCAACAGAACTGAAATGAACCCAACACATCCCACCTTGACAAGAAGAGGAGCTGGGACCTTCTCATCTCAGACTAAGCCGCCTATGATGGTCACACTCTTCAGGGAAGTCTGGCTAAGTGGTGTTTTCATTGGCATGCTGGGCTTTTAAGCCTCTTTGCAGAACTTTGCAAGTAAAAATGCACCATAACCCACTGGCTGCTACTTTGCCAAAAGAAAAAAAAAAAGAAAAAAAGAAAAGAAAAGGAAAGCAGCAATTTTAACATAATTTTACGTCAACCTTGCCAGAAATAGAATTTGATATACCACAGAAGTCTGCACACGACTTTCTTTGGCATAGACTACCACAGCATTTGACAGTCCTTCCACAGGCAGTAGAAGGAGCAGGGTAATTGTGAATCCTGATATATAATGGGTAACATGTTCCCAGGACAAGCTCTAAACCACTGGGTCTGGCAGGCAGAATAAGAAGCCCAGGGCTGTACCAGCAGGTGTGGACACATCCTTTATGGCTGGCAGCTAGCAGAGATGTAGGGGACACCTGCAGACTGAAGGGGGGTGTCACAGAACCTAGAAAGTGGGCAGTGAGAAAAGTGAAGCTTCAACATCAAGAAATGTACCAGGCATCCCAGCTTGAGGGGAGGCATATATGGGGAGCCACATGACAAACGCCAATCGGCAATAGATGGCAGCAGCTTGGATACAGCCCTACAGAGCTGTGTGAGGAGGACACATCCTCACATAGCAACATCCCTGCACCAAAGCCCAATGGTGTCAGGACCTCCTGTTGGGCTCCAATGATGACACCACACATGGATCTTCACCAAATCAGACAATCTCCAAGAGGAGGCTATTCAACTGGTGATGGCCAGGTCCAGGACACTGGCTCACTGTGACTCTGCAAACACACACAGCACAGTCCAGG